GAATGACCTGAACCACTTCCTAAGACTTTTAAGGGAATAGTAGTATTTAGCTAATCCCTTCCTGTATTTTATAACATTCTTACCTCTGGGTTTTGCATTTGCTTGTACTCTGAGGAAAGAGACATCTTTTCTGTTGTTTCTTGCCCTGTGATGTGTTTTTTTCTTAATCATGAACGACTTCAAGCCTATAAAAAAGACAGAAGCTAATAAAAGACATTTAACCAAGTTAGCTTTAAAAAGTTAGGCTTTAGGGCCGGTGCCATGGCTCACTTGGTTATTCCTCCACCTGTGGTGCCGGCATCCCCTATGGGTACTGAGTTCTGGTCTCAGTTGCTCCTCTTCCAGTCCAGCTCTCTGCTGTGGCCTGGAAGGACAGTGGAGGATGGCCCAAGAGATTGGACCCTGCATCTGTATGGGAGACCAAGAAGAAGCACCTGGCTCCTGGCTTCAGATCAGCGCAGCACCGGCTGTGGTGGCCATTTGGGGAGTGAACCAACGGAAGGAAGACCTATCTCTCTGTCTCTCTTCTTTCTATAGCTCTACCTTTCAAATTAAAAAAAAAAAAAAAGGCTTTTTTTTTCAAGAAGCAGATACAATTTGCATACCCTTTTGTGCTTGTGTGACATTGGCAAGTAAGTTTTCTCTCATACTGTCCTTAGTAGGAATCCAGGCTATATTAATGTTATAAATTGAGTGTAGAGGTTTTCTTTATTTACCTATTGCCTGGAATTTGTGCAAAATTAAATAATGGGAGAAATCCAGAGAATAAGAAAGTCTCATATCCAACAGAAAATTAACTTGTAAAGCTTTTCACTGAATTTTTATGTATAGATGGGATGGGGATGTTGCTATTGATCCATTTTTTATTCTTAGAAATCTATAAGATTTATTTCAAGTTTTCTATTTTTAACTTAATTATGGAAATATATAAACTTAAACTACTTTGCCATCAACTATAATGGCAAACATCATAATGTATTATGCTTTGTAAAAATGTTTTTAATTGTAATTATACCTGCTTTTTAAACCCATATCATATGTAGTATTGTTTCACTACTTTTACATCTGTTATTGTTTATTTGTATCACTTCTTACCAGAGATCTCTATTTCATTAGTTTAATGAAGATAAACATGTTAAATTACTGATGATCTTCATTGTTTTTTTCTGTTTCATGAGTAAATGTCTGTTAGAATTCATTATTTACTCTTTATTTTTTAAAAATTTTATGTAAGTTATACAAGTTTCATGTATTTCATATATAGAGATTCAGAAACATAGTGATACTTCCCACTATCCTCCCTCCTGCCCACACTCCAGCCCTTCTTCCTCCTAACTTTCCAATTCTCATTCTTAATTTCCTCAGTTTATTTATTAACTTCGTGGTTTTTTTTTCACTTAAGCTTAAATTTTCAAGCTTTTTTTCACCTCCATATACAATTTATCTTTAAAACAAATTGAGCAGTATTTTACAAATTTTGGCATTATCATTTAGAATCTAAATATTTTGTTATTTCCATTCCACATTTTCCCCTCTAACTTGTGAAGAACAAGTGTGGTTTTGAATATCCAAATATAGACTGAAAATGTAGAAGATTGAAGAGTTGCTATCTTTTTGTTATAATAATTAGTTTTATTTCTTTTTGGACAGAGAGATGATAAAGTTTTATATTATTCTTTAGTTTTTTTTGAGATTCACTGGTCATTCGTGTATGTGTGTGTATGTGTGTGTGTTTATTGATCCTTGATTGCTTAAAAATGTTTTCTCTATTAATTTAGTACAGTGCTCTATGTTTAATTCACTGATTAAATATTAATTATTGAGTTGTTACAATCCTGTGTATTTTGAAGACTTTTTTTTAAATAAGGCAGATTTTTATTCAATATTTATTTATTTATTTGAAAGGCAAAGTTACAGAGACAGAGGGATAGACAGGGAGAGAGAAAGAGATCTTCCATCCGCTACTTTATTCCCTAAATGGCAGCAATGGCTGGAGTTGGGTCGATCAGAAGCCAGGAGCTTGCTTCTTCCAAGTCTCTCATGTGGGTGCAGGGGCCCAAGCACATGGGCCATCTTTCACTGCTTTCCCAAGTGAATTAGCAGGGAGCTGCAATGGAAGTGGAGCAGCTGGGACTCAAACTGTTGCCATAGCTGCAACTCAGGCAGCACCTTTACCCACTATACCATAGTGCCAACCCTTTTGACAGACAGAGTTGGAGAGAAAGACAGAGAGTAAGGTCTTCCTTCCGTTGGTTCACTCCCCAAATGATCACTACAGCTGGCGCTGCGCCGATCTGAAGCCAGAAGCCAGGTGCTTCCTCCTGGTCTCCCATGCAGGTGCAGGGTCCAATCACTTGGGCCATCCTCCACTGCCTTCCTGGGCCACAGCAGAGAGCTGGACTGGAAGCGGAGCAACTAAGACAGAATTCGGCACCCCAACCAGGACTAGAACCTGGGGTGCCGGCTCCGCAGTTGGAGGATTAGCCTAGTGAGCTGCAGCGCCGGCTGAAAACATTTTTGTCTGGTCTGTTATATCTTAATAATATATGTTGACTTTCTTCTAACATTGTGTGATGTCAGTTATTTTTTAAAATTATCTCAGTTTTACATTTTGAGTATTATAATATTTAAATGGATGCGGGTTCAAGGTCATTGTGTATTTTCAGTAAATTATTTCTTATGCACTTAGGAATGATCTTTTTCGTCCCTAGTAATTTTTTAAACATTTGTTTCTCTTGTTGATGTTAATATTGTGGCATTACTTTTTGTTCTTTTCTAATGTCTAGTTAGTGTTTCTTAATTTGTTAATTTTTACCCTTTCATGTGACTTTTGTCTTAAATTCTCTTGAAAGCAGTGTATAACTAGATTGCATTACTTTTAAGTCTGCTGTGAAGATCCATTTACATTGATTGTGATTTTGTTGGACTTAATTTTTATTTTATGGATTTTTTTCTCTTTTATGCCCTACAATTGATTTATCAGGTTTTCTTTCCATCCATTTATTTGGCAGTTATAATTTTCATTTCTTCCAATGACTATCTATAGTATTTTAGCAAAATACAGAAACTAATTCATATGTGTTTTATTCTTAAACAATGCCAAAGTTCTGTTGTACTCTCATTGTAATCACACCTCCCCACATTACATGCAATTGTTGTCATGTATTTTATTTCCATTTTGTTTTAATACTCATTAGCCATTAGTATTGCTTTCTACAGGTAACGTTAGTTTTGAGGTACTCATGTTTGTGTGTTATTTAGTTTATAGATGCTTCTGCACCCTCTCATTCCTTGCTTAATACAATTTATTAGTTAGAACACCCACTTGTGGTTATTTCAGCAAGATTGTTTAAGGGGTAGAATTTCCATTTTGAATACTGAAAATGTGCTTCTATCTTTGCATTATTGATTGACAGACATAGTTATGAATGAGATTGACCTTATTTTCTTTTGGCCCTTTGGTGATATTCCATAGTTTCCTGTTATTTAACAATAAGGTTTCTATCCATATTATTGTCATCCTCCTGGAGATAATCTGTCTTGTTTGAAGTGGGTTTTAGATTCTGTTCTTTTTGTTTCTAGTGTTTGGAGATTTCAACATGCATGATAGTGGAATGGATATTTATGTTTCTTGAGGTTTAGTGTATTGCCTTATTTGAGAACTCTTATTATTATCTCAATTCTAAAAACCAGATTTCATCCACTGATTAGCCATATACTGCCTCTCTGCCATCCTGTTTTTCATTCAGGAACTTCTATAGCTATGCATTCTGACTACTATGCCCCCTATAATTCTGCCTTATTCTATTTTGACTCCTTCATTTACAGCTCTTAAGATATTTTCTTCAACTCTCTATATTCATTATCAATGCTTCTGTACCATGCTAAGGTTTCCTTTCTGGAAATTCTATCTGGTTTTGTTGAGAATCAGACTTGTTTTATGATAGTATTACATTTCTTCATAATTTTTAATTTTCTTCTAATTATTTAAAGCAAGGGTCAGCAAATTTGTCTGTCAAGGGCCAAGAGAGTAAGCATGATAGATTTCCTGGGCCCAGCAGTTTCTGTCACAGCACTTCATGTCTGCATTGTAGTGCACAGACCTGAGCAGTACGTAAACAGCTGGGCATGACTGCAGACCAGGAAGATTTTATTTACCCAAACAGGCATTCGACTGGATATAAGCTCATGGGCCATGATTTGCTAAGATATGATTTAAAAGTGTACTGTTTATAATCACATTCAAGTAGTTCTCTTGGCTCAGCAGAGAATAGCAGTGCTGTATGCTCCGTCAGCTGACTGGTGGGTTATTTTCTTTTATGAATATGTCATGATTTTGAGTTGTGAATTTTACCTACAGGCTTCTCTTGGAGGGAAGTGTGCCTTGAGTTGTGCAATTACCCTTCAAAGCATATTAACATTTCAGACCCTGGAGCTGATGTTTCTATAAAAGATCACTTTTGAAAATACCACTCTCAGAAATGCTCTGAATTAGAATCTTCTGAAATAGTCCAGTGTTTGGTTCATTGCCTGACATGAGATGAACACATAGTTCTTGTTGCTCTCATTATCTCTGTAAAAAATCAACAGCACTGTGGTTACTGTTATCATTGATCTTAGGTCTTATGGAACATTTATAAGTTGTGGTTGTTACTGTGCATGCTCTTTTCTTTGAAAATTCTGATTAATTAGAAGCTCATAATTAAAATACTTCTTTATCACCATTTGGTGCTACTTTGAGTTAAAATTGTAGATGATACTGATTTAAGTGTGTGTTGTGAAAACAAAAGCTGTCTAAGACTAGACAGAAACATAATGAAAGAGGCTTTGGACATTATTCTTCTGAAATACCATTTAAGAGGGAAAGAATTAAACATATTATTGAATGCTTGTGTTCAACAGATATATAGATATGTATATATGTGTATGTGTTCACGAGCATGCACGTATGTATACATTTTCTCAACTTGTAGTAAATTCATGCCTCTTGTTCATCACAGGACACTTGAAATGGACCAAAGCTGAGGACATTGACATAGAAACCCCAGGATCTATTCTTGTCAACACTAACTTGAGGGCATTAATAAATAAACATACATTTGCTTCCTTACCTCAGCATTTTCAACAATACCTCCTGCTTTTACTCCCAGAAGTGGATAGGCAGGTAAGTAGAAATTTGAGATATTTGATGTCAGTCACTATTCACATTAGTATGAAGTGGCAGAGCTGTTATATTTGTATAATTTATGTATGTGTGTATGTGTATTTTACTACTATCATTGTTTTATTTTTTTAATCTGCCAAAACAGCCATTTTTTATTATCAGTGGTGAGCCAACTCAAATTTTAAAATACAGTACATGTTGGTGAAGTAAAAACTATAGATCGTCCAACATTGGGAAGGGAAAACAAAGAAATCAAGCATCCTACTATCAAATAAATCTTTAAAGTCTGCTCCTTTGCCTAGGGGGAATACTGAAATGTGGTAATAAAAAGCCAGGGTTTCTAAAAAATTATGTAAATGTTTTTATTCTCAGTTCTTTCCAAAAGGCATTTAAGATTTATGTTTGTATTTCATTTCTGAGAGCTTATCATTATGAATATGATTGCCTATAAATAATTACCTTTTACTTCTTTTAGTGTAACCAATAATGCTTTAAGTGTATTTCTGAAAAGCTACTAGAATAAGGAAATATACGTATAGATCCATAATAGCAGATATCAATCATCTTCTAAAGCTGTTTCTTTAGGAAAGAAAGGGGAAAAGATTATCACATGAACTTTTATTAAATTTCACAGAACTTATTAAATAGTAACTAGAAAATATTCCCTTATGATTCTTACTTCAGTAAATTCTGACACATTCTATCATTACCAACTGATGGACTTAACACATATGACTTTATGAATTTGTATCTTCAGATGATAGGTCAATACATGAATTGAAGTGTGCAAGACTGATTCAGTATTTCCATATTACTTTGAATATGCTTTCTTAGCTTTTTATTTGATTCTGTTTTCTACTGACTTAATGATCTCTTTTCATACATATTTAAATATGATAAGCAACAATTGGCTACAAGTGCTATCTCTAGTGATGATTATTTTTTCATATTTAGCAAAAGATTATTTTGATTTGGGATACATTTCCATTTGACTAGGAGTTTGTTTTCAGCTGACACAAAGCTATCTAATATTTACTGTGAATATGATATGATACGTTTTTGGTGCTTTGGGTAATAAAACAGTAAATGCTTAAGTGCTTTTGAATTATTAAATGCAATCTACTTAGGAACACTTTATTTATAAGTAACTACAATATGAAATAGAAGTGAGTATGCTTAGGAAGAACAAAAAGTACAAACTATGCTGCATTTTGATGCACAAAGAAAAAATTAGAGACAAATTTAGGATCCTTGAATTAGACCTTGAGAGTTAAAAAGAATTTGAATCAAATGAATGGTGGAAGGATACCAAGTGAGAGGTCCAAAGATACAAAGTCAAAAGCTAATTGTTGGAAGTCTGAATTGTAGAAAGAATAGCACAAATGATTCTGGAATGACAGATTGGGAAAATATTTTGGAAGAGTCCTTGGGTATGAAACTAAAAGGAATGAAGGGTATCCTTCCTGTATATGTAGTGTAAGGCATTGAGGGCTTTGAAGCAGGGCTATAATATAATAAGACCGTTGCTTTTTAAGAGAATTCAACTTACATAATATCCACTTCAACACATGCATGATTTCTCTTGTTTGCAATTCCAACTCTAGCTCTTGGAGTAAGATTTGGCATAATATACATGGTATTCAATAAATATTTTTGAAATGAAGAGGGCATTGAGGGCTTTGAAGCAGGGCTATAATATAATAAGACTGTTACTTTCTAAGATAATTATTCTAGCTGTGGTGAAAGGAAATATTAGGAGTGAGAAACAGGGAAGTGCAAAGAATAGTTTGGAAAGCAATTTTAGTTGTTCCCAAAGGCTATTGTTGAATCGTATTGAAATGAAAGAGGAGGAGGAAAATAACAATGTCTCATCATCATCATCTCCACCATCCACCCCAACACACTGCACTGGAGCAATTTTACTTTTTTTTTTTTTTTTTTCAAATCACTAAGCAAGGTATGGAGAGGAGCCACTGATAACTCTCTACTTACAAGTTCATGTGACTGAGTTCAGGCATTAAGAAACTTATTAGTTTATAGAACTGTTTCCTCCACTTCAGTGCATGCGTGATTTCTCTTGCTTGCAATTCCATCTCTAGCCCTTGGAGTAAGATTTGGCATAATATACATGGTATTCAATAAATATTTTTGAAATGAAGAAATGAAAAATTGTGATAGCTTTAACTATGCATTTGATAACCCAAGAGGCCAGTGTCTAAGACCAATATTTTATTCAAGCTGTAATCGTTTCTATTAATTTTTTACTCACTATGAGAAATAGAGCTGAATAAGGTATAGCTTGACCTTAAATAACATTTGGATCCTTGGGGAATTATTTAATTATTCAAGGAAAATTTACTGAGCATGTATTATGTGCTATAAGTTGGCTGCACACAATGGATACAATGAATGAATCTATCTTGGGGAAAATGAATGAATCTTTGGAAGCAATAACAGGAGAAAGAAACTCATGCTGAAATATACTTTCCTCATTAGTTAGAAACAAGTCTAAGAACTGGATAGGTCTATATCAAATTCAATATAAGACCAAATAGAATCACATAAATGTCAAAATAGAAGTATATAAGTCCTCTGAAGGTATAGTGGATGAAGAAATTTAATCTCAGTGTCATATTACACAAGATTTATGATGTAGAGGATACTTAAGTTGAACTTTGAAGGACTATAGTTATGTTTTAGACAAAGCCAAAGAAAAGTGAATTGTACAGAGAGAGGGTATGTCATTTACAGAGACTCTTTGCAAAGATTCACTAGTTCCCAGTGGCTGGAGCAGTGTATCCTGGAAGATTGAGGAATACTCTGCTGAAGGGGAAAATGATATACAATCTTAATGGCCTGGTTGTTGGCTAAACTCTTCGAAATTTTTCTGGAACCAATGGCTATATCAAGTGTTTTTGAAATGAGAAATGGCATGCATAGAATAATTTAAACAATTGATTTAGTGCCTGGACATAGGTAGTGGAAGAGGGTCATGTGACAAATAAAATACAGTTCTCCTTTATCGCTTAACGGACAGTAGCCCTGTAAATGATGAATTGGATGGACAAAAAGATAATACAGGAGACAATTGCAGTAGTTAAGATGGGAGATAAAGGTCTGACCTTGGGTTTTGGCCTTGGAAATGGGAAGAAAAGATTTAATTCTCTACATATTTGCAACTCAGAATGACTGGGAATAAATAACATTGCATACGGAATGCAACTGGCCACTGGATATTTTATCTAGGGTGACTTGGAAGGACAGAGTGGTTCTGTGGGCCTTACACCATTTGATACCAAGAAATTCAGAGCATTCGCTCCTTCGTTCTCTCTGCTCTGCTCTGTATGAGGTGAATAAACCCTTTGTCCTAGCAGAAAGGATCAAGTCAGGAACTTCATGCAACAAGCTGCCAGAATTGCTGCCAGAATTCTACCTTTCAAATATCCAAATGGGGATGGATAGCACTTCAACACAGATAGTGTGGACGTGTCTGATTATATTTATTTGAGCTAGTGGGCATTTCTATAATTATGTGAAATACCTAAGAATGTCTATTTGAAGGTTTGTCTTCACATATTTTTACAAAATTTGAAACTTGTAGCTTTCTTGTTTCCTTTCACTGACTATCTAGGTTTCTGCATTATTTTTAGTGTGATACAGTCATGTAAGGGCTCTAACTCTGGACCCATATGGAGCTGGTTCAGTCCATGATTTCATCATTAAAATATAGGAAATTTCCCATTTATCTTGCAAATGCCAGTTGTTACTAAGCCAGCTTCTGTGGGTGTTTTTAAAAATATGTATAAATCGCTATTGATTAAAAATATGAATCAGATTATTAAAATATGATCTAATTTAGATTATATTTTTACTTTTCCTATATAATTTATATAATTTTTGCATCTTAATTTATGTTTAATTTTATTCTCCATATATTATATTTCAATAACAGAAAATTCAATTATGTTGAATGAATTCAATATAAAAAGACTTCTGGTCATTGCATTTGGGATGCAGTTATTATTAAGGACTCATTCAAGTTTTATTTATATAATTAATTTGAAAGATCTTATTGAAGACCTTCTTCTAATCCTGAATCCATTTATTATAGGATGGTTACCTGAATCCAGATAAATGGTTACATTTCTCTTTGTTCATTTGCATGGAGATAGTATTTCTCTCTTAATATTTAAATCAGAAGTCTTAAGATTATCACACTAACAGTACTGTTAGGCCATGCCATCATTTCTTTCTTAAAAAACTTTGTTAACATACAGAGAATAGATTTCATCTATTTCATAGGTACAGTTCTGGGAAGATAATCATACTTCCTCTTTCCTTTCCTCAATGCCCCTCATTCTTTCCTTTCTTTTTTTCTTTAATTTTTGTAAAACCATAATTTCAGTCCACTTTATAATCAGAGGCTTAATGCACCACTAACCTTAATATTCAGTAAGTAAAAAGTGGAAAGATCGCAGTTCCACAGGAGTATAAACAAGGACTAAACACAACAATCAAATTACAAGATGTCCATTTTGTTCCTATACATTGTTTTTTATTCTATGTTAACTACTACATATCAGAGAAAACATATGAAAAATTGCCTTTTGAGGACTGAAATTTTCAAAAAGCATAATGATTTCCAATTACATCCATCTTGTTGCAAAAGATAGGATTTCATTATTTTAACCCCTGAGTAGTATTCCACAGTGTGTGTGTGTGTGTGTGTGTGTATAACAATTTATTTTATCCAGTCATAAGCTAATAGATATGAAGATTGATTCCATATCTGAACTATTGTGAATTAAGCTGCAATAGATATAAGGGTACAAACAACTCTTTCATATGCTGATTTCATTTCCCTTGAGTAAATTCCCAGGTGTGGAGTGGAATCTCCATGCTGTCTTCCATAATGATTGTACTATTTTACATTGCCTCCAACAGTGCATTAGGGTACTTTTTTCCATATAGGCTCACCAGCATTTATTATTTTTGGATGA